ATATCTAGAGACTACATAAGTGTAGTGGAGGAGATATGCTGGCAACACATTATGCTCACTTGCCAGTGGTGTATTTACGGGATTTTCACAAACTTAAAATCATTTTTTTTGTTTTTTTTTTGTAGTTCCAATATATATATATATATATAGTTTCATGAGAACAATATTACCAGTTTGTAAAATGTTTCATAAATCCTATATGTTAGTATCTGTGGAACTATTGTCCGAGATCTCAAGGATCTTAGAACTGTATTAAGTTACCACTGATACAGCTGATGTGATGTTATTCATTACTGTGACAGTTTATAATTGTGTTAACAACACCCTATTTATTTCAGAGTTATGGGCCAATGAGACCACCAGGTGGAGCAATGGGTCCTGGAATTCCCCCAATGTCCATGTAAGTTGATTTAGTATTATTTCTGTCCTTACTTGAATGAAAGAAGACTTGAAGCTAGGTTGGTTTTCTGTACAAAGGGCTGATAAAGGCCCAGTGTTAGTCAAATTACACTGTTTGGTCAGTCAGCCCAAGAATTGATGATGGTTTTCTTCTAATTTATCAGTTCAAAATTAGGGGTGTCTAATCACTTGAGTAGCTTTGTATAGAAATTTTAAACAAACAGTACTGAACAAAAATAGAATACGTGCGTGTTACTGTATTCCACTATTGGTTTTAAGGTAAAGTGGGCAAGAGATTTTTATACTGTCATGTTAACTTTTAAAGTCTTAATACCTTTTAAACATAGAAGTTTATTTATGGCTTCAGTTTAATGTGAGTGAATTTATTTGTGTGTGTGTTCCATTTCAATTCAGACAAAATATGGCTCTTATTTCACTTTGAAACTAAGTGACAAAATAATTGTCACTTTATATGCACATTACTTACCTTGAATCTACCTAAAATATGGCATTTAGCTGATGTTTCAAGAATGTTAAATAATAACTTTGTAACTCTTGTTGAACATGAATGAAACTTGTCAGATATGTGAAAGATAGTAACTCTGTTAGACTGCAGTTTTGTCGTAACATAGCTCTGTTAATATAGCATCTTCATCTTTATAATATGTATGTAAAAATATATTACAGCATTAGTGAAGTGTATTTGAAGTAAGTTACTATTTTTACCTCAAAGCACTTTTATTTCATATTTTTCAACCTGAAGGCAAGGGCCAGGAGGAAGACCGTGGCAGCCGAATGCCTCTACTGTAAGTAACTTCCCAAGATTGTTGACTGTATGCAGATTCAACTTTTTTGAAGTTACATGTTTATTGGATAAAATTAGTGATTGGATTTTCACAGGAGTTCTTTTTGAAAGGGTGAAAATATCAATTTTATTATAATAAAAACAAAGTACTCCAAACTGTTGTCATTTACAGAAGGGTAATTAGTAATCTTATTTTTATCATAATTGGATCAAAGAAAGTTGTGGAAGTTAGAATTTTATAACAAATATAAAAAAAAAACAATTAGCAAAAAGGAACTTTTACCTTTATGGCTTAGTTTACAGTATCTAATGACAGTGTTCTTTCTTGGTCATTATACAATGCAGTGAAAGACATTATTTAACATAGAATGTTTCTATCGTTTACTTTATATAACTAGATCATCTGCGGAAGAGATATAGCATTAATGTTATCATGTAGCTTGATTTAATGGAATTACATTCAGAGTGGATTTTGGTTTTTTTCAGATCAGTTACTCATCAGCATCACCTGGTAGCCATTACGTAAGTATTCTTAGATGTTACTTCAAAATTACCTTAGCTTTTGTCACCTTAATGAACCACCTAACATAGAAAGGTCTGTAACCAGGGCTGTGTTGAACCATCTAATATTATAAAGGTCTGTAACCAGGGCTGTGTTGAACCATCTAATATT